CACAGATTTTGGCCAATCTTACTTAACGACATACACCTAAAGGAAGTTCTCGGTCCACATATTGACAATACGGCAAGAAGATGCTGTAATATACGTGACATCTTGATTCCTATCCACGTCTCTCCCAATCCACACCCATTGGGTACCTGGTTGGGAAATCCTCCATGTGGTACCTATGGATGTGGCAGATGTGTGGCATGCAAATACATCCTGAGAGAATCCAAAACTGTTAGTGATAGTGTGGGACAAAACATGTCTTCAACTGCAATACGACGGGCTTAGTGTATTTGCTGACCTGCAGCTGCGGTCTAAAGTATGTGGGTAAGATGTTTTGCGCATTTAAGGAGAGAATTAAGGAATATGTCAGGTCCCCCAAAAATTGACTTGAAACACCCATTTCTAGACACCTTAAAGAACACCACCGAAGTGGTCCGAAAGGTCTGAGGTTCTGTGGATTGGAACTGGTAAAAAGGGAAGAGAGACATGGCGACTATGACAAAACCTTAAGACAAAGAGAATGTAGATGGATCTACAAACTTAAGACACTCCAACCTCAGGGACTCAACAAAGGTTTTTCTTTCGCCCCATTCCTCTAAAAATTTCCCTTATACCAGAGGGACTCTTTCCTATTACTACTTCCATAATTCATCAATATTGTTTGGTTTAGATTTGATTTGTCAAAACCTGCGATTATATCTTTTACATCTATTAATGTACTGTATTTCAGTTATTTCACTTTATTTTATGTTTATTTATTTGGATACCACTCTTTATCAATTCCATAATAATTTGCCATTTGGATTGTCACACCGAGCCATATGTACCATTGAGATACCCATATACTCTTCATTATTCCATGCTGCCGGGACACCTTGATTCAACTACATTCTTTTATATAATATCTAAGAAACTAGGATTACCATTATCACCAATGGGGCATCACCATCTACACAATAGCCCTACAAGTAAAATTGGTAAATTAAGGAATATATATATATATATACATATATATATGTAATTATATTGAGAGAAAAATAGCTTGTTTTTTTCAGTTTATACATTTTTAAAACCTTGTGATTTACATCAGGTTTAATGGTCAGTTGGATGATTAGTTGAATAACATTCATTAATATACATATGTTTGTACCCATACATCAGGGCCGGATTAAGAGCACAGTGGGCCTGGTGCTGACAATTATGATGGGCCTAATTACGGAATCTTATCGACCAAAAACACTAAAACAATCATACCTCCCAAGCGTCATGTATCTGATGGAGATGGTGCTGGAGGGAAACTCATAGGATGCAGCTATAAGAAAACACATACTCTATGCTAATTTCTCTCTAATTTATGCTTTCATCCTTCAAGTAAATCCATAACCCCTAACAGCGGTGTACAGTGAAGCAGGAAGTCAATGGGCTGGGTAAAAGGGTGTGCCACTGGCGCGAATCACGTGACAAGACCTGCCAAAAGGGGTGAACATGCCCAAAAAGGGGGCATATTTGTCCAAAGAATTGGAAGGTCAGCCTGGCATGAATGCATCTTGAGCTTGACATAAATGCGTCTAATGATGCGCTCACTCCATTCTTTCTAAGGACTGTCCCCTCGCACTCGCTGGTCCACTTGTCTCCTTACCTTCTTACTAGCAGGCAGAAGTTGCTGGTATATAGTCTGAGACAGAGAAAAGGTGTCTGCAGTGAGTGTAGAAGAAAGGGGACATGCCACAGTGTTAGAGAGACCAACGTCTGCATTACCTAAACTAACTTTAATGTCAACCAGTGCACACAAGTTTTGTTCCCATACATCCCTCTTAAGCTTCCAAACTTAAGGGGACACTATATTCACCAGAACAACTACAGCTTATTGTATTTGTTCTGGTAAGTAGAATCATTCCATTCAGGCTTTTTGCAGTAAAGATTGTCTTTTCTGAGAAAATAACTCTACTGGCCGCTCCTTAGATGGCTGCTAGAGGTGCTTCCTGGGGCAGTACTGCCTAGTGTGCAGCACTGCCATTTAGTGTCTCCACCCTCTGCATGCAGACACTGAACTTTCCTTATAGAGATGCATTGATTCAATTTATCTTTATGAGGAGATGCTGAGGGGCTGGTTCTGCCCCTGATCTGCCTAGTTGACAGTCTCAGCCAATCCTATGGGGAAGTATTGTAATTTGCTCAGACCACCACTTCTGAGCCAGCAGCTGCAGAATTGAATACAAGTAATATTTTACTATATTTAGGGAGGCAAGAAGGGGCCAGGGTGGTGGTTTTAACATAATAGGGTAAGAAACACATGATTGTGTTCCTGACACTATAGTGCTCCTTTAAGCAAGAGTATGTGAAGAGTAGTTAAGGTTGCCACCTTTTTTGGAAAAAAATACCAGCCTTAATCATTTGTATAATTAATTAGTTATGCGCGACATCACATGATGTAAATCACAAGGAGTGACATCAGAGAAAATTCTGTAAAATCACCAACAAACTACTCACAGTTTGATTCTGCTGTATAGATGGATTGCTCCCAGTGTCTCAGTCTTGCAAGTCACCCAGTGTCTCAGTGTCCCTATGTAACAGTGTCAGTGTCCCCATGTCGCCCAGTCCCCTAGTCTCCAGTGTCTGTGTCCCCATTTCTCCCAGTGTCCCAATGTCTCAGTGTGTCCCCATGTCACTAAGATACTGGAGACACTGAGAGACATGGGGACACTGAGAGACCCGGGGACACAGAGACATGGGGACACTGGGAGACATGGGGACACTGGGAGACATGGGGACACTGAGACATTTAGGGAAACTGGGAGAAATGGGGACACTGAGATACTAGGGACACAGACACTGGGAGACATGGGGACACTGAAACATTTGGGGACACTAAGACACTAGGGACACAGACATGGGAACACAGACACTGGGAGACTAGGGGACACTGGGAGACTAGGGGACACTGGCTGGGAGACAGACCCTTGGGGACACTGGGAGACATGGGGACAGTTGTGGACATAGACTGGGACATATACGGACACTGGGAGGCATGGGGACACCAGGCACACTGAGACACTAGGAACACAGACACTGGGAGACATGGAGATACTGAAACATTTGGGGACACTAAGACACTAGGGACACAGAGACTGGGAGACTAGGGGACAATGGGAGACTAGCGGATACAGGGAGACTAGGAGATACTGGGAGACTAGGGGACACTGGCTGGGAGACAGACACTTGGGGAGACATGGGGACAGTTGTGGACATAGACATGGGGACACTGGGACACATGGGGACACTAGGCACACTGAGAGACATGGGACACAGACACTGGGAGACTTGGGGACACTGAGACACTAGGGACACTGGCTGGGGACATGGTGTCTCCGTGTCCCAATGTCTCCCAATGTCCCTATGTCTCACCGCGTCCCCATGTGTCTCAGCATCCCCATGTGTCCCAGTGTCCCCTAGTGTCTCAGTGTCCCCATGTTTTCCAGTGTCCCCAAGTGTCTGTGTCCCCAGGTCTCCCAGTGTCTGTGTCCCCATGTGTCCTAGTGTCTCAGTGTCCCCTAGTGTCTGGGTCCCCTAGTGTCTGGGTCCCCTACTGTCTGTGTCCCCATATGTCCCCAAGTATCTCAGTGTCCCCTAGTGTCTCAGTGTCCCCATATTTTCCAGTGTCTCAGTGTTCCCAGGTCTCCCAGTGTCTGTGTCCTAGTGTCTCAGTGTCCCCTAGTGTATGTGTCATCATGTGTCCCCTAGTGTCTGTGTCCCCTAGTGTCTCAGTGTCCCCATATGTCACCTAGTGTCTGTGTCCCCATGTGTCCCTGCTGCCTTTCCCCCATCCCTCACTTACCTGAGCTGTAGACTCTCTGTGCTCTGTAGCTGCTCCCCCACGGATC